AGACAAGGATTAAACATGTCTTTTGTCTTGGTGTGAAAATCATTCAAAACCATCCCCCCACACATCCCTTTGTCCCATGGCCGAATTCCTCCCCCCAAACATCCCCCCAAATCATTTCTCACACCTATAATAAGGCCAAAGGAATAAACAATCAATCCCTTGATGTGTCACATAACTTATTTTGCATAAATGGACAAAAGGACACACTCCCTCACCCTACCCTTCACATGGCCGAATTTCCCACCCAAAGACAGCCCATTTTCACCACCATGAACCCTTTTAGCCTTGATCAATGAGGACAACCTATGGGATTCATCAAATGGGAATTATGCACTTGAATTGTAGGAAAGAGTGGTGAAGTTTCCTTGCTGTTTTTCCCTATATATTTTGGCCCTATGGCCTTGTAAAAGGCATTCATTGTATTTCATTTCCTTACTCTTTGAAGTAATATTTGAGTTGGTGTGAAGCTAATTCTCTCAATTTCCTAATTAAATATCTCTGAAGTTGGCTACTTTTGAGTGTGTGTTAGGAGTCTATTTCATAGAATAATAGTAAATATTATTGTGTGAAAAGAAACAGCCCCAAATAAAATAAGAGTGTGTTTATCTCTTATTTATTATTTGGTTTATCCTTCTACAATAAAAATCACAAAAGAACTCCCTTTTCTTTCCTAATTTCGTCCATCTCCTTTCTCCCATTTAAACACTTCATTTCTTCATCAAAAACCACTCCATAATATTGCTTTTCTCCTGCCCTTTATTCTGCCCTATCACCTCTTCCAAACAACCATATTTTCTTCACCATTTCATACAAAAATCCAACCTATTCTTCACCATATATTCCTCTCTATAATCTGCTCTTATTTATCCATAGCATTTCCTAAGCTTGGGTACATCATTTGGTATCAGAGCCTGTTGTCACACATCTCTCATGGACCAAAACACACTTCCCTCATTCTTCTCCTCTCACTTTCGGCCATCAACCCCATCCCCCCATAATCCTTTTTCGTTCCTCTTTCAAATATGTCAAACCAATCCTGAAGCATGTCTCATGAAGAACTTATGGCCTCAAACGCTGCCTTGCAAGCTCAAGTGGAATACCTAGCCAAAGAAGTGGCTAAGCTCACAAAGAAAAAGATGTCCATGCTACGAGATAGTGAAGATGAAGAGGAATCTAGCTCTAGTTCCATCATGAGAGCTAGGGCTCACGAAAAGTCATATTCTGACTTCAAAGTTGATATTCCAATCTTTGAAGGAAAGAATGACCCGGATGAATTTCTTGAGTGGTTAGAGACGGTGGAACGAGTCTTTGATTTCAAAGAAGTCTCCGACAACAAGAAGGTCAAGATTGTGGCCTTAAAATTCCGCAAGTACGCCTCCACTTGGTGGACGAACACCTGCACCAAACGGATTCGAAGTGAGAAGCCTCCCGTTGACTCATGGCAAAAGATGAGGAGTCTCTTGAAGAAGTTCCTACCCACTGAATATTCCCGAGAGAACTTTGCTAAGCTTCAAACGCTTAGGCAAGGTACGAAATCCGTGGAAGACTACACCCGGGAGTTTGAGAAACTCCTACTCAGGTGTGACTTGCAAGAGAACGAAGAGAAAACCTTTGTAAGGTACCTTTTTGGCCTAAATCTCCAAATAGCCAATACGGTGGAGCTGCAAGGCTACACTACATTTGAAGAGCTTACTAAGTTGGCTCTCAAAGTTGAGGCTCAAATGAAGAAATCCAAAACCATTCTCTCAAGAAACCCTCCCCCTTACTCACGCCCCACATATACCCCCT